AAAGGCTGGTCCCGAGCCCCCAGCCTCCGGGAAAGCTGCTCGGACCCGCCCGCGGATTGCACGGGGCGCGGTGGCTGTGGCCGTGGGTGTCGAGGGTCCGTGACTCAGGCCTCAACTCCTTGGGGAAGGAGCGACAATGCTCACTCCGTTTGCACGTCGCTGCGCTCAGACTGCGGCTTAACCCACGCCGCCTGGGCGCAGGTGCGCACGGCTCGCCCCCCTGCCCTGGGGTTTCTGCGCAGGGCCAGCGGGCCGGAAAACCTCCCCAGAGACGCGCCGCTCTGCCTTCCGCGGGTCGCTGAGGCCTGTGGTGTGCTGTTATTTCATCTCAATCAAGTCGTTTTAGAACTTATTCAGGAAAATTTAACGCCAGTGACCTTGCTGCCTCCTCCCAAGGCTTGGAGAAGGTTGTTTTGTCTGCCTGACAAACAGGTAATTCATCTAAGGAATAAAGTGCAGTTTGGGGACAAAGCCCATAGGAGAGAGAAAAGAGAAAAAAAAAGAGAAACTTTATAAGGTCACCTTGTTATTGAAATAGACTCTTATGCTTTTAAAAACTTTGTTGGGTTTAAATCTAATCTTGTTAGTGATTTTGTAAACCTGTGCGAATCAGGGGAGCTCCATTTCGGCAGCTTCTTTGCCTTGAAAATGAACCGTGGAACCAGGGGAGATGTGTGTTGCTTCCATGATGATGCAGCGTCGCTTATGATAGGTCAGATCAATCCGATTCCTGCCACAAGGTGCTGGGGCCCTTTGGTCTTAAATGTCTGATAAGCAGCTATGCAGTGCTCATAATTCTTCTGTCTTTATGCTACAGATGCCTGGACGACAAGCCTGCACGGTGCTCAGAGGGAGATGACTTGAGCAGTCGCCTTTTATCTCCACCACAATGTCCATGAACAATTCCAAACAGCCAGTGTCTCCTGCAGCTGGGCTCCTTTCAAATACAACGTGCCAGACGGAAAACCGGCTTTCAGTCTTCTTTTCAATAATCTTCATGACGGTGGGGATCTTATCCAACAGCCTGGCCATTGCTATCCTCGTGAAGGCGTATCAGAGATTTAGACAGAAGTCCAAGGCATCGTTTCTGCTCTTGGCTAGCGGCCTGGTAATCACAGACTTCTTTGGCCACCTCATCAATGGGACCATAGCAGTATTTGTATATGCTTCTGATAAAGACTGGATCCGCTTTGATCAGTCAAACATCCTTTGCAGTATTTTTGGTATCTCCATGGTATTTTCTGGTCTGTGCCCACTTTTTCTAGGCAGTGTGATGGCCATTGAGCGATGTATTGGAGTCACCAAACCTATATTTCATTCTACAAAAATTACATCCAAGCATGTGAAGGTGATGCTGAGTGGGGTGTGCCTGTTTGCCGTTTTCATAGCTTTGCTTCCCATCCTTGGGCATCGAGACTATCAAATTCAATCATCAAGGACCTGGTGTTTCTACAAAACAGAACATGTCCAAGACTGGGAAGACAGGTTTTATCTTCTCCTTTTTTCTTTCCTGGGGCTCTTATCCCTTGGCGTGTCATTCCTGTGCAATGCCATTACAGGAATTACACTTTTAAAAGTGAGATTTAAAAGTCAGCAGCACAGACAAGGCAGGTCTCATCATTTCGAAATGGTCATCCAGCTCCTGGCTATAATGTGTGTCTCCTGCATTTGCTGGAGTCCGTTTCTGGTAAGAGCCTAAGCCTAACATTTTGACAAGTTTTGCTTTCTTCTGTTTTTCCATGTTCAATACAAGATTAAAAAAAAAATTATTGGTCTTGATGGGTAACGCTGTTCAATCTTTTAAATGCTTGGGTTTGTGCCTGCTTAAAACTTATTTCAGCTCTTAGCTCTGGCTTTGAATTAAGCTATTTATGGAACACATTATTATTTCCCCACAAGCCCTGAGTTGATGGAAATGTCTTACTAAACAATTCTAACTGTATTGTTACCTGCTTGCAGTGCAGTATAAAGTAATTTTAACAGAAGTAGCATAGTTTTAATGTACTAAATATGGTTAGTTTCTAAAATGTGAAAAAAATGACCAACTGGAATGGACTCCAGTAAGTCTTCGTAGAAAGTCACATAGACTTTTGATTTATGGAAAAGGCTAGTTAGCTACTTGGTTCTTCTAAACATACAGTGACAGGTCTCAGCTTGTAAAGGGAGGTGACGAGTTGAGATGGTTGGATAGTTCAGGTGAACTATATGCGTAGATCAGGTGAAGAAATCACTACTTCACAAAGCCAGTAGTGTAGGGAGAGGTACGATTGGCAGGAGAGCTAGGGAGTCCTCCCTTTTCATTCATTCCTTTAGCCAAAAGCTATAGTTGACAGCTTGATGTTTTTAGAAAGGAAGGCGAAGGTTAAGGAATGGGCAACAAATATAAGTCATATTATCTTCCAGGTAGAAGAAAAAGATACTTATGTTTGATAAATGTGACCTTAATGCCCTTCAACATTATTCTTTAGGATGGAAAGAGTGACAACATTCTGTGGAAGAGAAAAGGTCCTGTACGTAGCTACTGATGGCAGCAAAGATTGTTTTCATTCATTTTTCTGTACCAATGGGGAAACAAGCTGGTATCCAGAGATAGTGATAGAGGTAGAAGTGAGGCAAAGGGGTGAGACAAAGGTTGACATAGCATAAAGGTTATGCTCATACCTTGCTTGGTGGTATGAAGATGTTTTCACTCGTGCAGTTTTCCTAAGCCCCCAACAGGTCCCTTGTCCAAGAACTGTTGCCAGTGGAACTTAATAAACAATCCTGATGACCCTGAGGCACAGAAATGTTTGTGAGAGCTGCTGACACAGACAGAGACAGATCCTGTGACAGTCAATGTTATTTTACAGAAGGATTTCAATTTTTTGAATATTTTTATTTCTATTCATATTATCTCCTCATAATTTTTATTTAGCTTTTTGAATAGTTAAGTCACTTAAATATTTTTTTTTCATGATGCTCCTGAGTTGGACCTAGGAACTCAGCCAAGGGGAGGCTAAGCTGGGTCTGTCAGTGGCAAGTGAACATTTTGAGGCCTGCTTGTTGTCAATTTCGGAGGCCTTAAGTGAACCCAAGTAGGGATCTGATCTGTGCTCATAGTATAGTTAGTTGAATCTTAGCAGCAGAGAACAGTTCTATCAATGCTTAGAATCACTCCAGTATTCATTCTTGAAGAGTTTAATTTATGCCACTTGACAAAGGGAATTTCCTTAGAATAATGCTTCTTTTTCTCTTAAACTTAGAAATACAGTAGCTTTTCAAGATAAAAAGTGTGTCTGAATAAAACTGAATTGACTTGGGGGCTGGAAAAGAAATACAGAGAAAGTGAGAAAAGAGGTAGTTGAAAATATTTAAAGACTTTTTTTAAAATGAAGGTCATAGTTCTGGAGAAAACCTTAAAAACATGAAATAGTGAAGTCAATGAGAGACAGATAATTTGGACTGAAGTAATCTTTTGTGCTTTGGTTTTTATTTGTTCTGAGTCACTTTTAAATTCTGCTTAGTTCTGGCTTTGACTTTGAGAGATCGGCGTGATAGGTTAACTACTGTAAGACTGGAAGGTAGCAGATTTCAGTTTTGCCATGGGTAGTTTAAATTTATGTTTTGCTCTAGTTTCTTTTCCTGAATTCTTGGTTTTCTTCACTGTTAAAATGGGTATTACAACTTAACACATATTTTGAACATATTTCCTAGTGGAAACAATTTCATTTTCGTGAACCATTTTCTGAGGTCAAGATTGTATTTAAATATGAATTATTGACACACCTATGAAACAATGTGTCAATACTTCTAAAATGCATTTTAGTATGAAAATTATTTCTTTGTTAGATACCTAGTAAGTGTACCACAGAGACTCCTTGGTGGATTGTTATTTTATTTCAAGCATTCTTTGCATTCCTGGTTTCTCTTGTGCAGATTTGTGGGTCTTCTTGGCAAGTTCAGGCTAAAGGGCTTATACATTTCGTGGTCTGGACACAAGTGCCTTGGGCATTATTAGGTTAAGGCCATCAGACAGCTCTAAATGGAATCCTAGTAAAAAACAACAACAAAACTCAGGCTTGGGAATGCCAAAATAACACCCTACATGAATATCTCAGTTGAAGCATTTCTCCTTTTTCCTCCTTAAATGCATAGATGTTAGTGACTGAGCCTTCATCTTCCCCCCTATATTTTAAAAGCTTCTTAGTTTTACAGACACCTCTGAAACCAAGCTTCTAGATTCCCATAGATGTACTATAATGGTGACAGCTTCTAGATCAATGCTCCAATTTACACCATGTTCCTACCATCTTAATTGATAAGTAGGAATTGTTGGATTTGTAATTTGAATGAACATCTGTGCACACTCTCTGACCTATGTTCACTGTCATTTTCAAGGCAGAAACTGGAACAAAGATACAGGTACACGCATGAAGAGAGAGAAATTCAGATGATGGAGTCTGTGCTTGACAGGATTTAAAACATCAAAACTTATCAACAGTGGCATAATTTCTAAAATGATTTAAATTTGTAGCTGATGACAAAGGGGATACTTTGTTAATTTTGACGATTGAGTTTAATCAATACAAAGGCAAGAAGATCATGATGTTTGTTTGAATTCTCTGTTTTAAATAGGCTTTATTTTTCTTGATTAATTTTAGGTTTTCTGTAAAATGAGTGGAAAGCACAGAGTTCACATTTACCCCTTCATATCTCTCACTGCCCCCCAGTCATCCTTATTATTAACATCTTCCATTGATATCATACGTCTGTTACGATTGATGAGTTAGTATTGAATACACTGTTATTGATTAAAGTCTCTAGCTTACATTAGCGTTTTCTGTTTGCATTTTACATTATGTGGCTTTTGAAAAATATTTTTTCACCATTACAGTGTCATTTCAGAGTAATTTCATTGCCCTCAAAACCCTTTTTTAATTTAACGTGTCACTTTTCCTAAGGAGAAAATGTTTGTGTGTGTGTATGTGTGTTGAGATTTGTAGTACAATCATAGTATTATTTTAAAATATAACTTGTTAATGACTTTTAAAATTTTACAATACTTGGATTTTACAACTTTAAACATGATTAACACATGTAAATTGACTTAATTATACTACCAACTGAAAAATATAGGAAAGGACAGTAGGCATTTATTAGCTGATAATTCCATTTAGCAGCATGTTAATACAAAAATCTTTGAGAGTCACATGGCAGTTATAAAATTGTCTTGTGTGCATACTAAGTGAATTGCTTTCCTTAATAAGTAAGTCTTAAAGGCATTCTTTCAGTGTTTCCCAAGTGAGGGGGAAAATGACATTTACTAGCACTGTCAAGTAACATTTTTTTAATATTCTTTGTTTCCGTCTTTATACAGGTAATGGTTTTTTTAGGAAATAACCTAGAACATATAACCCTAAAAGGAATTTATTGTTATTGCTATGCTTATTTCACCAGTTTGGTAGAGTAATAAATACTTGTTGACTGGTTGACTGTAACCTAAGTAGTATGAATGTCAAGAGATTGCAAATGATTGACCAGAAGGTTAGATTCTGAGTTTTGTAGGTAAGAGTTAATAAAGCAAATACTGAAGCCAATGGAAGTTTTTCATCTGTTCCCTAAGTTAGCAACTGTAGACTTCTGACACTATTAACCTTCAGGGGTCTTTTACCTCCTTCTGGGGGATAGGGGATCATTTTGAATTGGGAAAAGAAGTATAAAATATATGAAGAACAAAATGGTTTCTTTCTTAGGTGAGTTCCCCAAAGAAATGTGTTCTCCTGCATGTGCTGAGTTTGAATTTGATTTTTGTACGGTTGTTACTCTTACATTAGTATTTCCAGTCAATGTAGTCACACAGTTGGTGACTAAGATGTTTGTGAGATATAAATCAAGGACTTGGGTGGCTAATTGAATTTTGGCTGAATTACCAGAGGTATTGGCATCATAATGACCAGGTCTGGGAGGGACAATGGCAAATGATAGAGCAAAGCAATATCATAGCGCATCTTGACCATGAGCGAAGATTGTTTTCTCTGAAAGGTGGGCCCTCACTTTCGTAGTTAAGAACTGCGTCATGGAAACCTGTGTGCCGTCTTGTGCATTTGCTGCGACACCAAAAAAGATGGTGAATGGATGTACACATTTAAGTAAAAAGGAAATGTGGGAAATGTATGAAGACGCACATACATAATGTGTACATGTGTAAATTATTTCCCCAGCTAAAAAAATTAATTGATCAATCCACTCTTGGATCTAATTGCCCCAAATAAAAGGGCTTCTAATGGATTTCATTCTAAAATTAAAAACAAAATGGACTCTCTTATAGTTTTATATCAGATCTTGGAAAGTAGGTCTTTGGTTTATTCTTGGATTGCTGCTGATTTTAGAGGCAATGTTGTTGTACGTTGTTTTAGCTGGCTTCCTCTGTGACGTGGGATGTGCTCTGATATTTGGAATTTGGAAGCAGCAATGATGTCTGGATAAAGGCCTGATGATGACACTTGGGTTCTAATCTAAATTCTTAAACAACTCAGACACTTAGAACTCAAAATTCTTGTCAAGAAGAATACATATACTTTAGAGCTATGCTAACGTAGTTTACATTATGGGAACCCAGGCTGTTTTTGTGTTTGGGTGGGCATGGAGTAGGTGGTGTGAGGTCAGTGACAGTCGCTGGTAGAGGACTGGCTCTGGGATATTGGGGAG